CCAGTTGTCTCTAACATACAGTCAGGGTACGAGTGAACATTTGCCTATCACATTGAGAGACTACCACATTGCTGGGACACCAGCTGTGTGAGTTACTTAAGGTTTTGTTTCCTCCAGGTAAATACAAGATGATGATGAGGGACTATCTCATGGGGCTATTGTAAAGATGGACTGTGCAGAGTACCTGCCACAAAGCCCTGCTTGCAAATGCCAGCTGTCCTTACCAGTCATATTTCCATGCAGGTATTCCTCAGGTGGCGAGGGGTAATCGTGCCATTCTTGAAGTGTATATTTTATAGATTTACATAACTTCCTTTTGGAAAGGATATTTAAATTTATCTACAAACTACCAGGGAGGGGTCAGTAGCATACTGAGTTTCTGGAGCAGAGTGATGGTTTCAGGTGGCCGCGGCAAGGCCGTGGGGCCCTCAGGCCTTTTCCCCGCAGAGGTGTCCCATTCTCCTCCTCTCCCACTGCGGTGTCTCACCTGCCAGGACAAGCTGTGTTCCCTGTTAGAAGTTGGAATTGGTGATAGGAGTTTCCAAAGCAGGGACAGAAAGGGAGCAAGAAATTTATTCCTTGCCTCGTTATTGCAGGATGTTAGGAGGCTAGTTGAACCCTCAGCACCTCCCTGGGTTATTGGAATAGCGGTAAACGTTCATCTTCATTCTTCTTCTAGTACATCTGTGCTTCAGGCAGTTGCTGGGAGATCCCTTCTCACACACAAGAGCCTCATCAGGAGCTACAGACCGGCAACCACAGCGGCCCCCTGCTGCCTTGTGTTTCAGATCTGAAGCTCCTGTGGGACTAACTATAAAGACAACCAGTTTTTACCAGTTTCTGTTTCTGGACTTACATTCCCCAACGCTTTTAGGACCATGGCCATTTGTTTGTCGAGGACTGAGATGCTCCTTCACCACTTCTCTTCGTCTATGTTCTTTTTTTTGGCTTACATTCCATACACTCTGAAATTCTTGTTTTCTCTTTGTCGCTATCTACCAATCTTCCCGCCTCCATCCCGCTCTGGATTTGCTGCTTTTTGTAATGTGGTTAGGCATATTGTGATGCTAATCTAAACATCTATTCCTTTTGTTAAAAGCACTTTTCCAGCCCTATCAGAAGTTCAAATGTATCTACCCTTGGGCACAAATACCACTTGTGGAGATTTCTGCTATATTTCCCATGAAGATATTTGCATAGAATGTTTGTTATAGTGCAATATGAAGCAGGGGAAGACTGGGAATAACCTTAATGTCCATCAGTAGGGGACTGGTTAAATAAGTCATTTACAAATAATGCAGTACTGTATATCTTAAAAAAAAGAATAAAGCAGATATAGAATGAGCTTTATAATATATTGTTAAGGGACCAAAATATAAGCTGTATACAGAAAATATTTCCCAATTGTGTTTAGAGGAAAAGGATTTAAATACACATTTATACTTAGGAACTCGGCATTAATTACTGAAATATAAATAAACTGTTGGCAATCATCTTTGTAGAGGAAATCCTGGGAAGGAGGCAATCTTTCTTTTCATTGTTTGTCTCTTTGTGTCTTTTGAATTCATAGTGTGGGAATACATTCCCTTTTTAATTTTTTTTCAGTATGCTTAACATTTTATTCTATGTTTTCTTCAAAGCTGAGTCTTGCCATTGTATACTTATTCCATTTCATTTTATAAAAGAGAACAAAAACACTCCTGCTCTCAGCCTTTATGCTAGAGCCCTGTGGCAGTTTGATCTTGTCCTTCCTTACAGTGTAAGTGGGACACTGGCGTGTCCTTCTCGGTCACGGCCTCACACTGTGAGATGTTAAATCACCAGCGAAGGGAGTGGTCCATCCTAGGCATTCAGGAAATGTCTCTGACACTTGTTAAAAGAAGCACCTAAGTGAAAACTTCTGAAGCAAATGTGTACACGTGCCTCACACTGTGAGATGTTAAATCACCAGCGAAGGGAGTGGTCCATCCTAGGCATTCAGGAAATGTCTCTGACACTTGTTAAAAGAAGCACCTAAGTGAAAACTTCTGAAGCAAATGTGTACACGGTCCTGCCCCCCAAGCTTTCTTCACACTTTTGATGTTCTGTGAGTCAGTCTCCCTTACATGTTTGACTCATAAAGAAGGTTAAAACCAGAATCCATCAGTGGTTAAAAGTTTGCAGGTGAGATGAAGAAGAATCATACTGATAAGGGCCTCTGAAAGGGGAACCCACATTCCTGTCCCGTGATTCTTTTGCATTGCAGTGTTAGCACAGTACGTCATTCTTTTAAACAGTCATGGCTTTGTATGTGTTGAATGCAGTAATGTGTGTGTGACCTAGTATACGCACTAGTGTGCGCTGGTTTAAACATGTAAATAATCTAAGATGGCAGGGACATTTTAAAAATGTAAGGCTGTGCTTAGTTGTCATAGCTTATTATCAAATGTGATTCTGAACCTACTCTTTATTTTCTGATACTGATATTGTCCTTTTATTGTCTATTGAATTACTTATTCCTACTTGCTCTTTAGATGAAAATAAATAGGAGAAAATAAATATAGCTCTGAAGGGGAAAAAGCTCAGGTTTGTTATGGGATATAACTTTTATTTCTTTATTAAAGCTGCCAAACAGAGACTTTATAGTCCTAGTGGACATTTTATCTAGGTGATTGTTTTAGGTTTATACTTGGTAACTTTTCTGGATGTTCTTTCTGTTAAATTAATCCTTGTGCTTAAACATAAATTGAGGTAAAACAGGCTCCATTCAGCAGTTCTTCCTAACTTTTGTTTTGGTTTTATTTCCAACTGTATTTAATAATTAATTGAAAGCCTCTTGTGGTTAGGAATAGTGTTTGAGACTCTGGTGGAATCAATTACTTTGAACTTTAAAAGCCTTAAAAGTGCAATGTAAAGCCATAGTAAAATTTTCTGATAGCTTTCATAGTCTGTTAGTTGGGTGTTGCTTATTTTAGAGCAGACAATATCTAAATTGAAATGTGTATTCATTATAATTGTAATGGGTTTTTTCCAACTCTTAAAAATCAATATTTAGCTACAAAGAGAAAAAGAAATGTAAAAGGCTAATAAGCATAGGACATGTGAACCTGTTCCATGTTTCTTCACTGAAGTTTACCAAAAACAGTGTCTGAGCACTGCGGGGGAAGTCTGTGTGTTCACCCTTGTGTGTCTGAGCAACAGGCAGGGATCTGCTCATTTGTTCGCCTATTGTGAGGCTGCCTGGCATCTTCGTGGGTTTTTTTTGTAACAGGGTGAAGGCCCCTGAATGGAAGCCTTGTGCCCTACTTGATTGGAAAGCTTCGTTGTTGATCTAAAGGAACCCGCAGGGCACCCAGCGGGGAGTCCATGTGACAAGTCAAAGTTGGGATCTGGAAGAAATGTGGTGCTGGGGAAGGGGGGCGGAGAGAGTGGCTTTCAGCCTTGGTTTTTGTCCCCCACTGCCTAATTGTTAATTCTCCGCTGGCAGCCAGATTGAAGAGGTGCCCTTTTAAGTATTTTTCGATTTTGTGTGCTCACTGAGACCTCACCTAACTGTCAGCAGATTAAAACCTGGACAACTGGTATTGGATTCTCTTACAAAAGCATTGTACTGACTGGGCATTATGCATTCCTGTTGGAGGTTAGATACCTTGATTTGTGTGTGTTCTGAGAGAGAGTGTGTGTGTGTGTGTGTAGATTTATTTAAAGGGAAGGAGGGCTGCTTGGGAAATGTTGAGTTTTGGGCATGCTCTTTACTTCCCAGCCTCTTTAAAGGCAGGTTGCACCAGCACGTGGCCGGTTAAACCTAGTTTGTACAGCTTGTGCGCTTTGTAGCAGCAGCTATTGGTCCGAAGTTTCTTGGCCCAAGAAGTCAGGTAATTTTAAGCATATACTGTGTGTGAGAAAGGCGTGGGGCAGCTGAAGCTTCTTATAGAGTTTAAACCAATAAACATTAATTTTTTAAGTAATAGTTTGAGGATTTAACAGGAGAAGTAGAACTTGTATATAATGTTTCTTCAATTCTAACACATATTTAAACTGACAGGGAAAGGGAGTGAATTTTAAGTGATGTTTTCCATTCTTTTTTTCTCTCTACTCAGAAACTGGTTCTTCAGCTTTCAATGCCAATTAAGACATGCTATAATAAGTATTTTACATTCTGTCCTGCTGTTTGGCTTTGGGTGTAAATGGTGGCAGAATGTTTAGTAGCTGAGCATACATAGTTAAACAGCTCGCAATCTGGTATATAGTAAGTTTGGTGTGGTGTGCTGTTTGGTTTATATAATATTGTTTCAGCATAATACTGAAACCATGCAGACGGCCTCCTGGAACTGTTCCACAGGATGCCAGAAAGGCCATGTTAACGATAAGTTTCTCATACCTCAGCAGGTTTTTTGGGTGTGTTTTGTTCCCCACTGCTGTTTTATTCTTTATTGTGGTTCTCCGGAAACTATGCCACAAGAACATATGGAATTCTATACATAAATGTTTATTGGTTTTGTAGAAACCCCAGGATACTGTGAGCTTAGCAACAATGTCGTTTTGTGGGTTATGGAGAGGACATATTAAAAATCAGTTGATAATAAAGTTTTCATTAGGTATTTTTCACACTTTCAAGGTAATAGTAAAGGCAGTTCAACCAAAATCAGAATTAAATAATAACATGAGGTTTGATTTGCTCTAGTTTAAGAGTTTGGATATAGCTGACCTCCTTCCCAAAGTTTTACTGACTGCCACCTGCCTGCAAAACATAAATACGGTCTTTCGTTTGTATGGTCTCATAATAATGTGAGTTGTTAATTATACATACTTTTGCTCTTGATGATTCACTGCTTTTTGTGTCTTTTGGTTTTGCTTTTGATAAAAGTGTTAAAGAAATAATAGCTATAACTCATGTGTATGTCTGCTTAAATGTCATATTACTTGAGGGTTTCTAATAAGTCTTTGCTTCATTTTGGTTACCAAAGAAACTTATAACTCATCGAGATATTTATAAGTGCTTTGTTTTTGTATTTGTGTAGGACATGTCTCAGGAAGGCTATGGAACTAGATCTCAACCTCCTTTGGCCCCTGGAAAACCTAACCACGAAGACTTGAACTTAATACAACAAGAAAGACCATCAAGTTTACCAGTAAGGCATTAATGTGCTGATTTGGAAATGTACTGAGTTATAGATTTTTTTTAGAACTGTTGTTTTTGTTTGGTCTACTTTATATTAAGATTTGGGGGAGAATTTTCTAGATTTCAGATATATTTGTAATTTGTTAATTTTGGGGGCTTCATTCTTAAGCAGCTGTGTAGCCCTGGATAAGATCTGTTTCATTTGTAGGTATCTCCTGGTCCAGAGATTTGTAGGTATCTCTTGAGTCCATTTGGAAGGTTTTATTTGGTTGGTGGGTTTTGTGGCAGACAGATGTTTCTGTCACTCAGTCATGCTTTGCTTAGCCTGTTGCATTCTGGCGGTGATAACAAGGTAGAGGTGTCTGGGTAAGAGTTAAACAGAAAGAATTTCCTACTTGGCAAAGGGTATAAATTATGAATGGGATAAAGCATCATCTGGTGGTTGGCTTTCTTTTGGGGCTCTATGCAATAAGAAATCACCCAGTCTTTTTCACCCAAAAGAAACTATTTTAGGTTAAAATTGGAAAAAGTAACTTATCAGTATTTCCACCAGCAAATAGCATATGGTGATTGGGGTATGTACTAATCAGAATAGTTCCTATGTTACAGGGTATCATGTTGATGCCCACAAATAGTTCATCTGTGCTTCATTTGCTTTATTTTAATGGTGACGTAAATTAGGTTTTCCTTTTAAATGAATAGAATACATCTGTGCAGACAAGTTTTTATATTATTTTCTTGTTAAAATGTTCTGATTTGAAGAATTATTTTATTGCTTAATCCCTATTGAGAAGTTTTACTTAAGACTAGCCATGATTGTACTTTGAATTTCAAATATGTTTACATTAAGTAAGATTCATTGTATTCTAAACATTTGAGAACTGGCATTTGCAATGAATGTCACACATGGCCTTTGGCCTGCATCCTGTGCCCATTGTATGTTACGTATAGCCTTAAAGAAGGTAAGTGATGCCAACAGAATGTCTGGTATCTTTGAATCTGATGCACATGTTTTGGAACCCTAATTTTTACAGCTTTTACATGTATAGTGGGAGGTGGGTGAAATTTATTGTGGTCAACTTTTAGTCACATTGAATATTTATTATCCAATTATTTGGTTCTTGAAGGAATTAAAAAGGGTGATAGGTTCTGTGTTTTACGCTGTAAGCTTTTTTCTTTAGCATACAATTCACAGCTTGTTGCTGAGCCCTTCTGTGTGTGTATGCACGTAAATGGTGTTGGTAAATGTAACATTTACTGAGTATTTGGAAATTGGCTTGTGGTTTTAGGAAGTTGACCCATGGGAAGTGGGTGAATAGTGAATTCCACTTTTTTCCCACTGGATTTTTAATGTTTTCGGAGGAGCTCAACTTCATAGGTTTGCAATTGGCTGGTTATGTGTACTACTATGCAATTAAAATTATGAAAAATTTGTTATAAATTGATACAGATTTTCTGTGTAGCTCTAAGAATAGTTTGCAGTGTATGACATTCTTCACATCCACTTGAACTTTGGGGTCTCTAACCTAGACTATGCTTTTTTCTGTGGCTTAGCTCTGAAATAGGTGGTTGATATTTAGCTGACTCTATAGCATAATTAGGGAGGGAAAGAAGCGTGTAGTCCCAGAAAACTGATTGAAGCTTTTTAAGTTGATTACTGGAAAAGGATCTAAAAGTATTGAGGAAGTGAACCAATGTATTAATCGATAGTTTTAAGTTTTTCTGAGTTGTTCTGTATGTATACATGCAATGCTTTGCTTGCTTCCTTAATCTTTACCTTGCCTATTTCCCAAAGACAATTTAAGGTTGCTCATAATGTACATTTTCTTAGGAAGCTGTTAAAAAAGAAATGCTCTAATTGGTATTTTCATTCTGTTTTATAACTCACAGATACATAAGCTGCTGATTAACTTAATATTTCAATAATCTTTTTTTAACCAATAAAGTTTCCAAGTCTTATGATGAGTATATAGAAGTATCAGTAACTGAATAAAGGAAAAACTATAGATAAGCTGGTGTACCTAAGACCTCTTGTCCCCAAACTGTTAAGATAAAAATGGACTTTATTTAATGAATTATAGTGCGCCACTTTTCTTTCAGCAGGCTTTGTTTCTAGTTTCTGTACAAGGTTTACAAATGTATTTTTATTTCTGTGGATCATGCATCAATATTTTGTAAACAATTAAGGTAATTATAGTTTTGGGGAAGGATCTGCTGGTATTCTATATGGCTCTAATATATATTTTTAGTGTTATTTTTATTAAATACTTCAGTTTTCTAACTTGGCTAAGTTGATACCACAGGTACTGGGAAACTATTATATAATTGTTTTATTGCATCTGAATCTGCTATTAGGTCTTTTGGATATTTATGCTGTGGTTTTCCTTTTCAAGTGTCAGTGATAGAATTTTTGTCCTTTTATTTAAGGTTAAAAACAATCCATCATATTT